TAAATTAAGAGATACTAGGGCGCCTGGGTGGCTCAGTGGGTTAAGCCGCTGCCTTCGGCTCAGGTCATGATCTCAGGGTCCTGGGATCGAGTCCCGCATCAGGCTCTCTGCTCAGCGGGGAGCCTGCTTCCCTCTCTCTCTCTCTCTGCCTGCCTCTCTGTCTACTTGTGATCTCTCTCTGTCAAATAAATAAATAAAATCTTTAAAAAAAAAAAAAGAGATACTACATTAAGGCCTAGATGCCCAGCATCTCTTGAAAGAGACAACACCTGTAACCCTGGGTCTTCGTTTCCATAGGTCAGGACTGGGCCACAGTCGTGACTGGCTCTCCGGTTCACCCCTGTCCTCACCCCCAGTATGCCCCACGCTGTGGCCTTTCCCGGGGCCTTGTACCATTCTTTGTCCAGTAGCATTAAGAGGTACCAATGGGGTCTGTCTTTCCCCACGGCCGTATCAAAAATGAAGACAAGACAGGCCCCGGAGGCTGTGCAGCTCCGCTCACTCGGCCACTGTGCCAGAGAGTCCGAGAGTTTGAGTGTGCTACAGCCAAGCAGAGGGTCAGGAGTACAGATGGAGGGGTGCAGGGCTCCCAGGCTCTGCCTCCGGCACCAGACACACACGCCAGTGGGTGAAGGAGCCAGGACGGGGGGCCTCAAGGGCTCCCTATGTTGGATCGGGTGGGGGCACCTCCCTCTCCCAAGGGGTCGGCCCATTTCCAGGAGGCCCAGACTGCTGAAAGCCCCATGCAAACTCACCAGGGCAGGCTGGAAACCAAACCCCACGGGCTTTGGACTGGAGCCACCCACCTGAGCAAGCAGCCAGAGGTCCCTGCAGACGTGGAGGATAGTCTCCGTCCTGGGGCAGGAGACGGTGAGTGGAAGCCTGCTGCTCCGATGAGAGCAGCTGCTGCTGGCGAGGGTGGCCATGGAGGTTGGGCTGCCCAGCCCCTGCCGAAGCTGAAAGGTCTTCCTCTCGTGTCTGGGGCTGACACGAAAGCCCCGCACTGCAAAGGCAGGAAGTTGGAGGCAAGCCCACAACCTTACTGGCTCACGAAGGCTGCTGGGCCAATTCCAACCGTCTGTACCTCTCGCGAAAACCACTAGCGAGTAGAGGGCCTTTGTAAGGACAGGGGGAAAAGGCAGCAGGAGACACAGCAGAAGGGCGAGGGGTAAGGGGATGAGGGGACGCAAGACGGGGAAGAAGAGCAAGCCAGGCTGAGCCTCAGGGCCCATCACCTCTTGGTGGCATTTGGCAAAAGCCTCCGGCCTGTTCGTCCCTGCAGTCCCCACGTAATCCCTGGATGAGCCCGGCGGGGCCCCCTGGCGTGGGGCTGACTAGCGGCATTTATGGACCAGGTAAACGTTCACTGAAATGGAAGTAAAGCCCTCGCACGTGCTCGCACACCTCTGCTCACGAAGCTGCCGGTGTGGGAGGGGCCGATCCCCACCTCACAAGGCCAGGAAGTGACACACTAGCCCTCCCGCCACCCCAGCTGTGGTCAGGAGTGTCAGGTCAAGGGGCAGCACGGGGGCTGGCCTGTGGTGGTGGGACATGGCCTAAGAGCTGTGTGATGCCTGTCCAGCTTGGGTGCGCTCCCATCTCTGCTCTGGACCAGGGAAGCATCAATAAACGTCCTAGACAACAGGGATTCATGCCTCCGAGATGGCCCCAGGCTCAAGGTGGACACCACTTGGTACTGCCCTGGGCTCCCACTGTCCAACGGCAGGCAGTGTTAAGAGGTGTTGGTAGAGTTTGGCTAGAAGAGCTCTCAACACCTCCTCTGAAGAGGCAATTACATGTGGAGATAAAGTTGCATTCACATCAGACTTGGACTACGTTCCCAAACCAAATGTCTGCCTTTAGAGCCTAAGGCATCTCCAGAAGTATGTGGAAAACAGGCAAGATCCCCCCAGACAAATGTCCCACGCCACCTGTGCTGCTTAACTGGGACCAGTGCCCCCGGGCAGCACCTGGAGTGTGTAGGTCATACCTCTTGCAGGTGAAACAGAAACAGGACTGCAGGTGTTCCCCAAGCTCTCCAGGTAAGTCAAGGCCAACTGAAGTCCCTAGACTCCAGCGCAGTCCCAGGCCAGGAGTGGGAGGTGGGGGAGCACAAGGACGGAAATGTCAGGAGATTGATTAGTAACCACATATGGCTGTTTATTTTATACAGGGCTCTGTACAAAATATTTACAGATATTCTTTACAGAATAGTAAACCACCTGAAGATAAAAGGATAATGCTTTCTTCTCATTGGCAGGGAGAATCCTGATGTCAGCAAAGCTACCAAACAAATGAACCCCCTCCTTAGGCTACAACAGAAGTCTGTGCCACTTGCTTTCTGGGATCCGAAGGCTGTGGCCCTGGGAGCCTGATCTCACGCCCCTTCTTCCTTCTTCCCCAACAACCCCTTTACTCTTTACACACAGGCCCCAGTGCTGGGCAGGAGGCACGATGCTGCTGTCCATCTGTAAAGGTGATAAGGGGACAAACCTGCTGGGGAAGAAGACTGGGACTCCCTGCTGCATCACCACCTCTGGGTCCTGGAACAACTTCCTCTGTCTTCATGATTCCACCACTGTCTAGAAGAATCCATCCACATTACACTTACCCCAAGTGGGACTCCCGCTACAGAAAATGACCCCTCACTTTAACCTTTGGTATTAAAGTGCTTAGCGTCACTCACGTGACATGGCGGAGACACCTGCGCTCACAGCTCTGGGCTGCCGGCTGCCCGGCATACTAAACACCCTCTACTCTGCAGTCTGGAGCTGCTAAGGGAGAGGACTTCTGGCACATTCACTTTAAGAAAACACCTGCCAAGAGAACAGTGCCCAAGAGACAGGAAAATGAAAGTACATGGCTGCTTCATACTCCACACCTCAATTCTTTAAAGCA